AAACCCAAATGTATAGCTTAGCAGTTAATTTCAGTCCCTGTTCCCTCTCTTCAATAGTTTGTTTTCTTTTTTTTTGTCAAAACATACTGAAGCAGAATCTTTTAAGTAACATATTTTGTATTCTTGCAGGATGTCGGGGCCTCTGTATTCAACACAGTATGAGAACAAAATATGTTTTCTTCACAAAAATGTACAAAAACACCTCAAAATGCCAGAGCTACAGATTCTGCAGCCTATTCCTGAGGCTCTTGTTCCAATGGCTACACAAAGAAGGAAACTAGCTTAATACTTTTGAATCTTTCGAATTTAGCAAAGAATTATGTGGTTTGGTTCAACTTATCACATTTGGTACATCAAGCGTAATCCATTATTGCATTCAAAACTGCACACTCATCCTCCCCCAGCTGTCACATAACATACAGGACATTTATCACAGTGGTTCTTTTTTTGGAAACTTGGTTCCACCAGAAGTTAAAATGTCTGCAGTACTTAGAAAGTAAGTTTCTAAGGGGGGAACGTAATGAAGTCTGACAGTGCAAAGCTATAATCATTGGGAGTCAGTGGGAGGTATGGTAGCAAACTAATCCTCTTCATGTTCTGGGGCTGTGAGCAGCAGAGACCTAAGCTGCCTTTTAAGACCACAGCCATCAGCTTGATATTGGCGCAGCATTTAGAATAGCTAGACTCTGTGCTACAGAGACGGGGGGCTGCAATGAAACACTGGATGGAGGCATTACTCTTTAGTCAAATACAATCAAACTGTCCATTTTCCATTTGCTGTGTCTGGATGTCAGATTTTCAGACTTCATCCATTAGCTTAAATACTTCCTTTTAATCAATTCTGATTTAATTTATATCAAATATTTGAATAGGAACCATTCCTTTCATGCCCTCCCTCCCTTCTTTAGTTCGGTTTTTCATTATTAAAAGCACACAGAACAAAGAAGCAGCGAAACAAAAAGCTAAGTAAACAGCCTGAAGAGACATCACCATACAATATCTATACTAAGTAGCACTTGTGTCTTGTCATCTTCCTACAAATATTGTATGTTTGTGTATTCTTCTGACAGATTTCTTCCTAAATCCCTGTTCTGTAGGCTAATACTTGTTAGATAAGTGTTTTAGTAAATATTTTCAACCAGTTGATTCATTTTAAACCAACTCCTTGAAATTGGCTTTTTGCCAGCTGCCAATATTGAGCAGATATTTAAATAAAGACTGAAACTGTATTGAGAGTTATCTCAATACAGTTTCAGTCTTTATTTAAATTTCTTTATGGCTTTGAGTGATAATTGCCAATTATTATATAAGCTAGGTTTAGACCATCTTTTACTATTATATTCTAAATAATCAGTCACATGCAAATATTTGATTTGATCCAAGTTGTTCAGAAAACAGTGAGGTTTCAGCAAATCATGACTTAATTGTATAGATTTTGTTGCAATGTCTGACATTTAATATCCTCTCTGTCCTTTAACAAGATGAGTGAACTTACTCTGTATTTCTTTTACTTGAGCAAATTGGTCAAACACTGTTTTGTTGATGGTTTACACCGTTGCTTCCAACTGTATCCCCATTCAGTTTGTGGATATCCAAAGAGATAATGAGAATTGCAAATAATTATCTGATCCATGGATAATTTTGCAAGTTTTCTAATTTTTGAATGGAATGAGTCCATATGAAAGGATATATTAACTTTCAATACAGTTTCAGATTCTTTATTCATCCCTATAGAGCAAAAAAAAAAAAAAAGATTTTCCTGTTAGTTAAATTAATATCTGTTTCCCAAAACTGATTTAAACATGTTTTATTTTTATATAGACTTTTTGTTTTTGGTCCTGAAGCAATCAATAGTAACAACATCCTCTTAAACGGACGACCCTCAGATGGAACTAAACTTGCATTCTTTTATTGTAATTACATTGAACTGAAATTTAATCCTAAGCCAAGCAAAGAAACGGTTGATGAAATAAGAGCTGATGCATTATTTTCCCAGAATACAAAGGGTTCTCAAGACGAACAAAAGTCATTGAATCATTAGACTATAATATCTTGGGTCCCCTCATTGCAAAGGGATGTACACTTCCACACACACGTTATCAGTAAATGTAACAGCAATGTGTTACATCACTGGCTACTATCTGATAGATTGTTAAATTATCAAATGTCGTCTTTAAGTGTGCCATAGCTTCTTCCAGCCTGTTCACAGATATTATTGTTTTGCTTATTAAGCCTGTTTCTGGATAGAATAAATGTCTCAGACATAGTGTCTGCCCAGTATCTCTTCATTTAAACCACTTTCTCCAGCCGTAACAACCCCTTGGCAAGTTTTACCTTGTAACTTATGTCACTTAAAACGATTAGCTTTTTTCTAATAAAAAGTGCTATCTACTTCAAACAATTCTACGTTGAGATTACATTACAGTTTTAGAACTTACACCTTATAGCCTTACATGAGTAGGAAAATGATAATGCATACCTATTATATTTAACAACCTTAGTATTTTACCCCACATTTCTCTATATATTTAATTAAAATTATCCCAAACACACGATGGAGAAACCCTTTTCTGCAAGTTCATTGGTTTTCATACCTGTCTTGTTGAATTTTTGGACTTTTCCTCATTCTTGTGCCCAAAAAAGACATAAACAATCCTGCCTTTTCTCCTCAAAATGAGCATTGATTAGCAAAGGAAGGTGGGCGGAACTGCCCAGAGCTTTAATAGCAGCAAAAAAAATGAAGAAAACCCAAAACGTAACTTTGGTCTTAACTCGCTGGCTCATAATCATATTACTGATTAATATGTCTGCAGTTCCTTCAGTCTGTCTTATTAAAATAAACACCGTAGGACAAACATCCTTCTTAGCTCATTCCTAGGAGGTCTGCTGTCATAAGACTCTTTTTGAGCTTTTTATAAATACCTTAGATGTTCCGACACTCATGTCACAAAAAGTAAAAATGCTGTTATCTACAACACAATTAATCTTGGCTATCGGGATTCAGCTGCTCTTTTGGCTGCTGGGTCAGCTCTCTTTTCCTGGTTTTGATGCACTCATACACCTGTGTAGACAACAGCTTTATATTCAGCCTCTGAAAAATTATGCAGTCCCCTGGGTATAGTTTTCATCATTTCTTTATAGTAAAAATCCTTGATATTCCCTTTGGCAAAGCAAAGCCCTCTGCCTGGCATATTAGTTTGTTGTGTTTGCCAAGCAGAAAATTTAGCCACAGACCAGACAAAAAAAACCAAGGCACACCATTAAAAAATACTACAAGCCACGTGCATCTCCAATAAATCACATTTCTTACCAGAAAAAAAAGGAATTCAACAAGAGTGTCTCAGGCAGGGAAGCATCAGGCTGATTTTGACACAAGGCTGATCCTGCCAAAGAGGTTCATGCCCAATGATTCACCATGAAACAATAAAAATTCAATTAGGCCAAATCCCAGACCAGGTCCAAATGTTGTGTCCCCAGTTTTTTGTGTCTTCCTCATCTTTTAACTTTGAGTTAAAATAACTTAGGCTTTCAGCAGTTTTAAAGGCTTCTGAGAGTTTGTTCCAGATAAGTGGCGCTACAAATAGGTATTTGAAAACCTGTCTATAAACTAGAATTCTGACCCTCAAAGACCTGTTAGTCTGGCTTCAAAATGTCCACGTCCACTCCATTTATTATCCTTAATTAGATGCACCTGTTTGATGTTGTTTGCTGCATAAAGACACCTGTCCACCCCATACAATCAGTAAGAATCCAACTACTAACATGGCCAAGACCAAAGAGCTTTCCAAAGACACTAGAGACTAAATTGTTGACCTCCTCAAGGCTGGAAAGGGCTACGGGAAATTGCCAAGCAGCTTGGTGCAAAAAGGTCCACTTTTGGAGCAATCATTTGAAAATGGAGGTAGCTGAACAATGTCAATGTCAATGTTGACTGTCAATTTCCCTCAGACTGGGGCTCCATGTAAGATCTCTCCTTGTGGGGTCTCAATAATCCTAAGAAAGGTGAGAAATCAGCCCAGAACTACAGGGAAGGAGCTGGTCAATGACCTGATAAGAGCTGGGACCACATTTTCCAAGGTTTCTGGTGGTAATACACTAAGACATCACTGTTTGAAATCATGCATGGTACAGAAGTCTCCTCTGCTTAAACTAGCACATATCAAGGCCCGTCTTAAGTTTTCCAATGACCATTTGGATGATCCATAGAAGTCATGGGAGAAACTCATGTGGTCAGATGAGACCACAAAAGACCTTTTTGCTCTTAATTCCACTAACTGTGATTGGAGGAAGAAAAATGATGAGTACCATCCCAAGAACACAATCCTTACTGTGAAACATGGGGGTTGTAGCATCATGCTTTGGGGATGTTTTTCTGCAAATGGGACAGGGCGACCGCACTGTATAAAGGAGAGGATGACCTGGGCATGCCCTGGAAGCTCACATGACCGTGCTTTTACTGATGAAAATAGATTTAATTTTTAACTTTCTAACTGGCTACTAATTGATCAATGATTAACAAGCTGAAAATCAACAAATTAGTTGTCAACAGTTAATAAACCCACAAACAATACCTGTTTTTGCTTCTTTGATAGATGCAGGAACCACTGATTCAGGTTTCCAGACTTATTTTAATGTTAGAATCATTTGTGGAGAACTATAAACAAATTTCATATTAATATATAAATTAGCCAAAAACTAGAGAAATTTGATTTATATTGTGTCCGTTATTCCCTACCCTTTCATTACCCCCCAAAGGAACAGAATCTTTTTTTTTTTTTGGCAGAATGTCACCTATTCAACAAGCTAAAGAATGAAACCCTTTTCTGAGCAGTGGAGACTCTAGGGGTGATTGAAGAGAGTCATGTATATGTACATATTGATGCCACACTCTCACTTTTCTCAGGAGATTCTCTGCTGAGGCCTCAGCTGCTCAAGATGACGTCCTTCACCCTGGATAGACTGACCATTTCCCTCCAGCCTTCCCTGGAGAAGTTTGAGAGCCTTCTGTTGCAGCTCATCAATGCTGACTGCCAAAACACAGTAAGGCCAAGTCTTCACAACTAGCACAATCTTTTCTGTTTTATATGCATGTGACACATTTCGTGCAGCAATAAAAAAAAAAAGTTTGTTGCGGAGAGTTATGCGATTCTATCTCAGGATTTTTACTAACTATAAAATCTTGCAGCATGCCACAGCTATGACAGCTGAATACTTTTACGACTGAATAGAGATGCAGGAAGGAAAAACATTTCCCGCTACAGACTGAGGAATGAATTCCAGTTTATCTTTACTCCTAAAGCAGTTTGTCTTTTACCTTATCTTACATCCTACAGCATCTTCATGCATATTATACAAAATGTGTTTACAAGGGAGAAACGAAACCCTTATACAAAGAGTAAATAGCCCTGCCTTCCTTCTATCTAGGTACATGTTCCATGCATGAATATTATCTTGCTTACAATTCATCACTCTGAGATTACGGTTTTCCACACTTCTCAAAGTTACAGATAGCCACGATGGCATTGACACACCTTTGCCAACAATGTTTTCTTCAGCTTGATGATTTCCTTGATCCCACTTTCCATTTCTTTGGTGTACAAGCACTGGCCCACTTTGCAGCTGCCACTGCAATTTAGGCCATATCCTTTGCAAAGTAGATGGAGCTTATCTTTTTTCTTCCCTTTTTTCTTGTCTATAGCAACCCTGATGGTTAACCTTATTTGACAGGTGCAGCTTCGGACTACCAATATATGTAAAGTGGCTGCACACTATCTGTTCACTTGCGCTTAAATGAGATGTGTCCTTGGGAGGGATGAGAATTGTTATGACAACGCTGTCCGTCACTGTAACCATCTCACTGCTGTTTGCTTCTCCCGGGCTCGGATCTTCAAAGTCAAACACGGGGCACTGTGAGTTGATTATGTTAAGCGTATAGTCACCACTGGACCACCACCTGATAAATTAATGCAAAAAAAAGTCTGTGGTAGGATAATCCTTTTTTTTTTCAAAAAAAGGAAAGAAGAAAAACTGGCCCTATACTTTATGGTTAATTTAATCTACATTTATTTTCAATTCATGGCTTACAAACATAATTTAAGCAAAACTTGAATAGTTTATTTAAAGTATTTGAGGGTTTCTTTCTTTATTTTTCTCAAAATGTAATCTGGGAACCCCCCTAAAGACTTTCCCAAAGGTTCTGCCCTTTGAACCAACAACTTCTGTTGTTGTTATTTTTAAATTTACCAGCAACTGCAAAGCAATTCTCCAAATATGGCTACTTTGAAAGAGGTCTCCACAACTGCTGCAAATGAAAAGGAGTCTACTGCATTGCAGTAAATAAATAGATGGATAACTTGCCTCATACTGGTACTCAATCAAGTAGTTGTCTGTCTTTTCTTTTATATTTTTTTAATAACTTTTATTAAATGAGGGAAAGAATAAACAACAAACATGCGTATTTAGGTTTATGCTTGTAAGCTGCAAGATGTATCTTCTGAATGTGGTTTATAAGTAAAATTACTTAATAATAATAACAATAATTAATAATTGAACTTTATTGATCTCACATTGGAGAAATTTACCTCTGCATTTAACCCATCCCCTTGGGGAGCAGTGGGCTGCCATAGTGAGGTTCTCGGGGAGCAATAGGGGGTTAAGGTTCTTGCTCAGAAACCCAGAGTGAAGGCAGTGGGATTCAAACTTACTTTACATCAGGACAGTCTGTGTGATACACCAATACAGTCACAACAAAGGTTTGAATCATGATGGTGGAACCATCATGCTGTGGGGATGCTTTTCTTCAACAGGCACAGGAAAGGTGGTTAGAAGAAAAGAAAACCTTTAGGATCCCCAAATCTTTTTAATCAGTTGAAGGTCTAAAAACTTTAACTTGCGTTTAAAAAGTAAAACTTCCTTTAACTAGCAAGTTTTACATAAAAATCTGCATATTTTTAGAACATATACCTAACCTTTTCTTTATAGAATAATTCAGTCCATCTTTAGCTTTGTAAACCAATCATAAGGTATGTCAATTGTTGGTTGAAATTCCATAATTAATAACTAAATGTCTGCTATTTTAGCAGTAAGGCCGCTAAACCAGCATTTTGATTTATATTCATTTAGGAATTCTGAATTTTAGATACGCAACTTTGGCTCATAATATTTGTATTTTTTTCTTAAAACAAGAAAAATCCATCATGTTTAAGAATATTTGGCTTATTTTATTGATGCCATGTTTTTATAAAAATGTTTCTATAGATGTGCAAAGCTGACGGTTTCTTTAATTGCAATGAAACCTCATCCTGCAACATATCAACTCAAAAATGCTGAATTCAAATGCACATAGCATCAAAAGAAGCAAAATTCTGAAAACATACATACAACACAATACAATGTACATCTGTGTCAGGTGTATGACAAGATGTTAAAAACATTAACGGACATGACAACTTAAACCAATGTTTTTTAAAAAAAAACAAACAAACAAAAAAAAACAGTTTGAGCAGAAGCCTTGAAGAGAAGCAATTTGCTTAAGACTGTATTCCCGCAGTATTTTCAAAAGAAACTATTGACATAATATTTGAACATTTGCTACAAAGGTTTTAAGGGATAAAAAAAAATGGTTCTTCTTCAGAAATCAAACATAAAATAAACAGGGATCATGTATTATTTTCAATCTTTTGTGTTTTTTTTCCCAAGTTCTAACTTGTTACTAATGGGCTGCATTCTGGGCTACTCTCAGACACTTCAAGGCATGAGCAGATGCTAAAGCTCAGATTGTGCAAATAAAGATTTATTGCACCACTGCTACAATTACATTCAAGATCTGCTGAAGCACCAATCGAGCTCAAACTGGGTAAAAGATTTAAATTCTTTCAATTTGGCCGCCTCTCCTGTATAAATGTGTGTCAAAGTAAAATACACATTAACAGCAAAATGTAAAGTGAGCCATCAGTCTTTTGAGCAGCTGACCTTATTTTCAAGGATTAAGTTGTTGAAACTCTGCCAGCCTGGCTTTTATCCTTATGTATGCAGTCAAGTTCTATTGTGCTTGCGTATGTAACACTTCCCCTATATACAAAGTGCAAACAATGAAAAGTCAACTACAAGTTTCCCTCTGAGAGCTAAGTGACATGTTAGTGTGAATAATGTTCTCTTTTTGGTGTGCACAGTTCTTTTCTCCCCTCTTCTTTATAACTTCTGCTGAATGACGACATTTGCACGTCTGTGAGAAGTGTTAATACATGCAGAAGTCAGCTTGATTACAGCTTTTAATTAAAATGTGTGTGTGACAGAAATAGTTTGAGAAAAAAAAAAGGGTGTGTGTGCCATATCTGCGTGACCTTTAAACGTGTGAATTCGTCTGGATTGTCATCAAGCTGTCTATGAGGTGATGCTGACACCTCACCCGTCGACTTCCTGTAGCAGGGGAGAATGTCCATGCGTGTGTTTGATACCGACGCATGTGCTTAAACTGATGATGAGACAGGAATGGGAATGAGGGGAAAGAAAAAAATTGAAACTGAAAAGAGGAGGCAAATGACTGCACAGCACAGCATGTGACGAATCCTTCATGTTAGCTGTAACTCAGACAGTCTTCACATAATCTCTAAGTATTGCTATTTTTAAACTCCACCGACCAATCCAGCTTCTTTTACAATCCACTTTCCCTTATATTTTACAGCCGCAGTGGAAGCTTACAGGTCTGTAATGTGAACTACTTTAGCTACTTTCCACCAATTTTTAGCACACCTTGATGACTAAGATAAACGGTGGTCCTTAAGCTCTCCACCCTCTAGCCTCTTGTCAAAAACAGACACTACTCACCTCCAGGGTTGCATGAAAAAGCGTGCCCTCCTGCACTAGTTCAAGCACAGCCAAAGGCTTTATTACCTTAAATGTCTTAGAGCAGGAGCACTAACCTTCCGCTCCAATATTTCTCTTCATGAGATGGCCAGAGATGTTGTTTGTAGCGTTGTAGCTTTTGTCTCAAAAAGCAGATAGATCAAAAGTGTATGCAGAGAAGGAGGGGAGCAGGCAAGGACCACTGCCATGCTGCAGGCAGAACAAAGCGCCTTAGGCTGATATAATGAATAGAGAAAGAGTTTGGCAACGAAGCTCCAGGAAGTTTTCAGTTGTACTGAAAGAACAAAACTCACTTAAAGTGGGACTGCCCCTGTGGACGAACCACGATGAAAAATACAAAGGAGGTTGAGCATTTTTGAAATAGGAGGCGTCTCACACATTGTTCTCAGAGGACAGTTTGGCTGCCGGCTGGTCACCGCTTTAACCGATGCGGCCCTAATGGCATAGCTCACATCACATATTCATGGGATGCAGGTCTTTGTAATGACAAATTATCATAGTTCCTATAAACTGGACAAGACTGAGGATTCACTGCAGAAAGGGAAAGATTCATTTATGAACTTTTAAACCCTTTATACAACTGTCTATGATGGGGTAAGTTATATTATTTAGAGTTCCTGAACCTTCTTTAGAGGAAGATCCTTTAAGTTCTTGATTTGATAACTTGAAACATATGGTTGTAATATATGCTTAATTTAGGCGTGCTGGTTTTAGACATTCAATAAGCCTGTTTTACATTAAACAGTACGATCACTCTAAGAGGAATACTGCAGTATTAAAGTATTCACTTAAAACCTAAAAGAAAAAGAGGAATATTTGCGATATTTTTTATTTCATTATTCCTACTTGTACAAAAACCATAAGACATCAGCTATTTCAGTTACAGTGATGTTAGAATTGAACAAAACTATGGAAAAAAACATCCTCAAAATTTAGCAGTAGTTTTAAATGTGTGTTTTTTTTGTAGTTTTTTTTTTTCTGGTGAAGTGCGACTGACAGACCGAGCCTCCATCAGGCCCTAAGTGACATTTTATCTTGGGACACTCAGATGATGAGACCACTCCCATCCATACCATAAATACTATTATATTTTCAAGCTTGAAACGCTAAGTTTTCTAGAAGAGGTTTCTTCAGTTCTAACTAGTGGCGGGGAGCACTGAGGTTAATATACTATA